GATTTTGATATTTTCTTAATTACAGACCTGGAAATAATCATTTTATTTACTTTTTTTAGTTCTTACTTTTTAATGCTAACATTAAAACCATTAAGAAATTGTCTCGATTATTAACATAACCTCAATTCCCTGAGATAACAGGAACGAGCACTGCGTCAGTTTAGCTGACACTTTGGGAAGTGTCCAAGTGTCCATTTCTCTGTAATACTGAAGCCTGATTGAATCCCGTTTGTGCAACTGCATGAACAAATGGCATTTCAGCTAAAACCAGTGGAGCCAACTACCTATTAAAAGTTGGCACTGAATGCATTTCATCAGAATCTTTTTCCACTCCCTGGTTCAATCTGCCCGGCACATGCACTTTCTTCAGCGAACGAAATTTGTGTTGTGCTCAGGCGCCTCGTCAGCCTGTACAGAGGCTGCAACCCCTTGGTGGTTTATGTAGGCTACCACTATCATGTTGTCCGAACAGACCAAGACATGGTACCCCTTCAGGTCTGGCAGAAAGGGTCTGAGTGCCAGAAGAACTGCCATCATTTCCAGGCAATTGACATGCCAGTGTTGCTCCAGGATTAACCAGGAGCCGATCGCTGGTCTGCCCTTGCACAGAGCTCCCTAACCTGTGTTGGAGGTGTCTGTCGTGACTACCTTCCTCCTGGAGACCAGCCTCAAATCCATTCCTGTCCAGTACAGATGAGGGGCTTTCCAAGGGGCCAGGGCCTTGACATAGCTGTGGGTTCTTGAGGCGTCCCAAGTGTGGGACAGGACCTGGGATTTCAGCATGTGAAGCAGGCACACTCCCTTCTGTCTCAGGGGGGAAGAGGGCCACATCGACTTTGTAAAAGTGTGTGTACCTGAAACTGAATCAGGATACTGGTAAGCCACCAATTCGAATGCAAATAAAAATGGTCTGCGATGACGGGCTATCTTGATATGAAAGTATGCATCTGTCAGATCCACCGACAAAAACCAATTCCCTGTGAAAATTTGTGAGAGGATTTGTTTTAAGGTTAATATCCTGAATACTTGCTTTGAGCAAGGATGGGCCTGAGGCCACCACTCTTTGGAACTAGGAAGTAGCAGCTGTAAAACCCAGACTCGCTGTGAGCTCCCGGAACATTTCCATGCCACTCTTTGCCAGCAGACTCACTAATTTGGATTGGAGAATGCAAGCTACGCTGCCCCGGACCGAAGTTTGAACCACGCCCCTGAAACAAGGTCTGTGAATGAATTAGAGCGAGCAGTCTCGTTTGATTGTTTCCAAGACCCACTTTGACACACCTGGAATGGCTTCCCAAGCCTGGCTTTGGGTGGTGAGAAGTCGGGCTGATACTCACACTGTTGCGAAGAGGAGAAGTCGTTGATGCTGACATGGCAGGCCTCTGAGTGGACGAGGCCCCCTGGAGACTTGAAACAGCAGCCGAGCCGAATCGTTTTGGCAGGAAGTGGTGCATGACTTGAGACAACTTCTGAGCCGAGACCGTGGAGTCAAGGAAAGCTGTCTTGTCAGTGTCCATGATCTCCGTTAAATTCATCCAGAGGTGGCACTCAAGAACCACCAGGTTGTCCATTGCCTTAGAGCAGGGGTGTCAAACTCAATTCCTGGAGGGCCACAGCCCTGCAGAGTTTAGCTCCAACCCTAATTAAACACACCCGATCCAGCTAATCACGTCCTTCGGGCTTATTTGAAAAATACATGGTTTGTGTGTTGGAGCAGGGTTGGAACCAAACTCTGCAGGGCTGCGGCCCTCCAAGAACTGAGTTTGACACCCCTCACAGCTTCTCATACCTCTGAGCCTCAGCACCACCAATGGAGGTGAGGGTGGCTGATGCTGAAGAGTTGACGCAGGCCGAGTAGGGGGCATGGCACAACCTAATCCATTCATTGTGAACTTCAGGAAAGAACAGGGCACGTTTCTTCCAACTTGCTGCAGCTGCAGAAACCATTCATCAAGTTGGCTGCAGACGGGCTCATCCAGAGACGACCACTCCAAGCCGAGCTCCTCAATGGCCTTGGTGAGGATGCGTATGAGTTTGGTCTCCAGACTGGGTCTGGCATCACCTGGCTTACTCTGCAGCAGGGGGCAGAATCCTCTGTGGAGTTCGTCCAATCCTCCACATGAAGAGCTGCCAATGACACAGTGTCCTCCTCGGAACCCCTAAAGGGACCAAACCACTCGCGAGGGGTGCTGGTCTTTGCGGGAAAAGAGCACTGGGGAATCCTCTCGCTGTGGGGAGATTGAGACTTATGGGATATGAGCTCACTCAGACCCATCTGTTTTTTCCTCCAAGGCTCCTGAGAGGAAGAAAAAGGGGAACACAAGGGACGGGGTCGCCATCTTTACAGAAAGTGATGCGTGAGACTCATGCTCTCGCAATGACAGCAGCTCCTCTCAGTGAGTGCAGCCTTTGCATGGGCTTTGCCCGAACAGGCAATGCACATCTGAAGAGTGCAGGAGTGCTCTGCATGTGCCACATTCGTGGTGTGGCATTTTGTAACAAACGGCACAAGAAATATGCTCTCTTAGATGAAATATGCTCTAATAGTTTTGCCGGATAGCCGTGGAGAAGCACCGTTCTCAGCTGCGAGAGCTGACGGCGCCATGATCAGCTGCTGGGGCTCTTCTACGGCAAGCAGGAAGGCTGCTTCTTTATCTTCTTCTTGGGAGTTAGTGAGGAGATTATCTTCGCGCTGACGGAGAAAGATTATGATGGAATGGCAATCAGCGCTGACTTATTTAGGCCAATGTCTCCCCCCGTTTTGGGAGGCTGAAAGGTCATTTGTTGCTGTACAAACAAGATTCAATCAGGCTTCAGTATTTTAATGAAACTGTATTTCCCCAAAGCATCAGCTAAACTAACACAGTGCGAATGAACCGTACTGATAAGGGGAAATTACTAGAACTTTGAAAACCGAATATATTAAAATAAAAACGATATTTAAAGGTGCAATAGGTAATTGTCTTCAGAAACATTTTTTGTTATGCTGTAACATTTCCGTCTCACGCTTGAGGTATTCGGCCAATCATAACGCATTGGATAGCTGGCCAATCAGAGCACACCTCGCTTTTCAGACCGATTAGTTTTGTAAAAATCGACGCGTTTCAAAAAGGCGGGGCATAGAGGAGAAACAATAATGTACAGTATGTGGAAAATAATGTGTTTTTTTTACTTTAAACCGCATAAACACATTTCAGTACACCAAATACACAAAATAATGTTCTTTTTAGCAGCATCATATGACCCCTTTAAGTTAAGTGGTCTAAATGTAAATGTATGTCGAAGGTGTAGGACCAAGAACGTTTGGTCCGAGCGTTTTAATTAGCTTTCCTACCTGCCTGTCAACGTATGTATTAGTATACCTTTGCGCACCCGGTTTGCGCAGACAGGATACGTCATCAGCGCGTTCACGCATGCTGTGCCGACAGAGCGAGAATGGCAGACAAACATCAACAACCCGATCTTCCTTCCTGGTATAGTAGTACTGGTAAGTAAGTTTTCTCACCGGTGAATGACACATGATGTAGCCCAGCGGTTCCCAATACCAGTCCTCGCGCCCCCCGCTCTGCATATTTTGCATGTCTCGCTTAGTTAACACACCTGATTCATATAACCAGCTCGTTAGAAGTGAGCTACGTGCATGAACTGTGTTCCGATCGATATGATCCCTACACAGTGTTCATTGCTCCCTCCTCACTGACTGGGGGAAATCTGTTGAAGTTTACTTCACTTCGGAACATGGGCTGGAATTGGGAACCTGATATAGCCTATTGTAGTAATGTTGTCCCTGGTATTCTGATCTGTGAGCGTATATGCGTTCAGGGCGCGTGGCTTTGGACGGCGATTGCAGGGAGGGTGAGACGTTGGCTTTCAGTGCTATCAGGCTAAAGTTAGCATTTTCCAAGATCTCCTACTGCACCTTTAAAGCTGACATATATTACATATTGTAAAAAGGGGCATAAGTCTCTGGTGTCCCCAGAATGTGTCTGTGAAGTTTCACCTCAATATACTCCACAGATCATTTCTTATATAATTTTGAAAATGCCTATTTTGAGTAACTAAGGTTAACTAATGAGGTCTTATTGTAAAGTGATACCTATTGGTCTTTATAGTTCTTTTGCACTTTAATCTGTGTAAAACTTATAACTTTATACATTTTTCTGTATTGCTTTATTGCATTTAAATTTTCAGTTATTTTTGTTATAAGAAAAGTTATTAAACCTATTATACTGTATTATGACAGCACTTTTTAAAACTTAATTTCAATATCGTGATAATACCGTATACCGCGATAAAAGCATTAGCAATTAATCGCAACATGAAAATTTGATACCGGCATATCCCTGGTTGGTAGATGCACTGGGGACCTGATTATAGCACTTAAAACCTGGAAAAGTCAGATTTTCATGATATGTCACCTTTAAAACAAACTGGAATAAAAATTAATAGCTAAAAATATTAAAATCTTAATGATTGTAATAAAAACTAATCTCAATAATAATAAAATAACACTGATATCAGATGTATTACAACAGCAAACATTTTAGGCATTCTACAGCTTTGAGAAAATATCCAATATCATTTAGGTTTTTCCATTTTCTCTGAAGAAATCAAAATTTAGTTTGAGAACAAAACTGGATTGTGAATCATAATGTGCAATGAACTGAATATGAATGAATTGTGAAAACGTGCTATTCATGATCATCTTTTTTTATTTAATAAACCCCACAAACGCAAAATATTCAAAAGAACTAAACAAAACCGATGACAGATCTCACATGCTTACAAACCAAACCCTCTCAAATGATGAGACATGAACAGCTATTGAACACTGACTGATAAAACTCAAAGATCATGTGACGCTGCGTAGTGTTTGAACAAAACCACACCCCTGCTTACCCAGCATTCATTAACCTCAACAATGGTGAATCCACAATATTTTGTGTAAAGAAAATAACACCCGTTTTTAAGGACCATTTAGATTTTTTTGTATAGTATTTCCATGACAATTAAGCTTTGATTTTAAATTTAAAGGCAGCACAGCAAATACTATGATATATAAATACAAAACATTTTTAGAATTTAAATTTGATGAATCTTGACAACTGAATATTTATTACTGTACTTAAAGCACCACTGAAAAAATACCCAGGAGTAAAACATACAGGCGCACTAATGACAATTCTGTAAGAAAAATGTGCTTAATTTTCATTAAAATAACATTTAAAAATATCTTTAATGGTTCTAAACATTCCCTTCAGTTTCTTTAAACAAAATATCATTTATTTCTTGTGATTTTGGGGTCCAGGTTTTGTGAGATTCACCCCTACATGGACGAAATTTCACTTAAACATCATCAAATATCAGCTTGTCTGATGTGATAAAACTCTGACTCGTTCTTGAACATAAAAAGCAGGAGACACAAAAATCAATGATATCTGCTCAAAACAAGCCATTGAAATGTCATTAGCAGGAAGCTGGTGAAACGGCTCAGATGTGATTCAGACCGGATCTGTGATGAACACATTAGTGTTTGTTCTGCTTATTCTAGAGCTCCTTTGAGTCACGCGCCGTTCATCTGTAAACAAGTTCACATACACAGACAACGCTTCCAACAACACAGTTTACAAAAGCATGCAAGTGGATGAGGAAAAAAAAATCATGAAACTTAAGAACATGTCCAGCTCATCAAAACAAAAATGATGCATATATTTTAAACCATTAAGACTTATTGCACTGACATTTAGACGACAGTTAAGCACGTTTTGATTCCAATTTGTCATTATTATTGTAATGCAACAAAAAAAAAACGTTCTCATTGCTGTAAAAAAAGACTATTTAAATCATAAAAATGTAAATGGTAATATATGTGCATCACAGTAATAGTTGTACCCATTCAACTTCAATTATGGAGTGTAATAAGAATTATGAAAAAATACATTAACGACACAGTGCAGGTTAAAATGTGCTTAATTGTCATAAAAATAATCATAAATCCCAAAAGTCTTGGTCCTACAACAGGCTTCGTTATCTTTATGTAAAACATGTTTTCTTTTTGTTTTGGTGGGTGAATGTATGGAGGCTTGTTTCTGCCACGGGATGAAAAAAATGAGAACGTAATTGCGACTTTTTTTTTTTTTTTTGAGTTTATATCTAATAAATCAGACTTTGCATCTTGCAATTCTGAGAAGAAAAAAAAAGTCAGAATTGTTAGATATAAACTAGACTATTTTCTCACAATCCCGCAAGTTTAGTTTTTATTTTTTAATCACATAATCTGAATATTTGCAATTCAGACTTTTTCTGAGTTGATTCTGAGTTTTATCTCGCAATGCAGTACGCGAAAAACGTACAATACGTACAATACGAACTCCGAATTGTCCGGTACAATCTTGCAATTCTGAGGGGGAAAAGTCATAATTATGAAATATATTCAGACTTCATTTCTCACAATTCTGAGAATTCTGGCTTTGTTTTTTTTTTTGCAATTCCAATATGTCAAATTCAGAATCGCACAATTCTGAAACAAAATCCTAATATATCTCAAAATCTCGCCATTCTTTCTCAGAATTGCAAGACAAAAAATCTGAATTGTGTGATAGTCACAATTACCTTTTATTATTTTATTTTGTATCCAGTGGTGGAAACTGTGAGCTTGTTTTGTGTGCAGTTGCTGGTCAAACAGATGATTCGTGATTCAGTGCGACTGTCTTGATGCTTCAGCCCCGAGAAGCAGTGCAACTTTTTTTTTTTTTTTTGAGTTTATATCTCATAAATCAGACTTTGCATCTTGCAATTCTGAGAAGAAAAAAAAAGTCAGAATTGTTAGATATAAACTAGACTATTTTCTCACAATCCCGCAAGTTTAGTTTTTATTTTTTAATCACATAATCTGAATATTTGCAATTCATTTTCTGAATGAGTTGATTCTGAGTTTTATCTCGCAATGCAGTACGCGAAAAACGAATTTTTTTCATATGTACAATACGAACTCCGAATTGTCCGGTACAATCTTGCAATTCTGAGGGGAAAAAGTCATAATTATGAAATATAAATTCAGAATTACAAAATATATTCAGACTTCATTTCTCACAATTCTGAGAATTCTGGCTTTGTTTTTTTTTTGCAATTCCAATATGTCAAATTCAGAATCGCACAATTCTGAAACAAAATCCTAATATATCTCAACATCTCGCCATTCTTTCTCAGAACTGCACTTGTTTTGTGTGCAGTTGCTGGTCAAACAGATGATTCGTGATTCAGTGCGACTGTCTTGATGCTTCAGCCCCGAGAAGCAGTGCAAGATTCAGAGAAACCAAAGGAGAGCGCCTGCGGTGGGGGGTTTGTGGTCCGCAGACGAGCCGTTTCTGAGGGTCATTAGAGAGGATGTGTTGAGGAGAGCTGGGCTGATCTTCTGATTGGGATGCATGGAGTTTCTTCACTATATGTAAAGGCCAGTTCATGATTTGGCAGTTTGTGTTGTGAAGACGGTTGCGGGTCAGTCGTTGATGAGAGCCAGGATCATGCTGCAAAACACAGCAGAGAAAATAACAAACCTCATTTACACACTCGACATTAAAGGAGACATATTATGCCCCTTTTTACAATATATAAGTCTCTGGTGTCCCCAGAATGTGTCTGTGAAGTTGCAGCTCAAAATACC